CTTGGACATGGGCGCACGTCGAAACAAATGGAGAGAGAGAGAGAGAGAAAAGCAGAGAAAGACAATCGGAAATATCATGAACGTTCGAGAGATGCTAAAACGCTTAGAGGCACGACCGTGGAATACGTGGGAGTATTTAGAATTAATCACTCCAGATCGCTGGATGTATCGAGGGTTCACGGAAGCTCGTCCGATCGCCCATGATTTTTTTGATTACCTCGTTTCATTGGTTTCCCATTTGGCTGTGCAACCGATTTTTAAACGCAGGTAATCATAACCGTTATAGAAACAAATGTGTAAACTATTTTGTATTTGCGTTGAAATCGGTCCTTGTTAAAACTTTTGTTACATTTTTAACACATGTATCCGTATGTTAATTTAACATATCGTGTTTATGTCATTTCAATATTTTATGCCGAGTCTATATTCAAAGCACGTGTAAGTACTGAAATAATATATTTATACTTCAGTGTCGATTAACATATTAATTCTGTTTTAATTATTGGCATGATGTTTGTGCTACTTTCCAACATATTCATCTGGTGTTAAATCAAACATTTGTGTGGGCCGTATAGGCCATGTGAAATTTTTTAAATTTAACACCACATTTTTTTACCGTACATTAACATAGTACGTAACTTAATTAGTCAAAAAGAGAAATACAATTAAAAATCCGACGAACTTTCGCAAGCAGCAAATACGAAAAAATCACACGCGTGGAAAATATTCGTTTTCTTCCTTATGAAAATCGTTTACTGTCGCTGCAACGGCGCGACCGATGAGAAATTGCGCGCGCGCGCGCGCTCGCGAAATAAATCTGTCATGAATTTTCAGGCATCTACGAAAGCCGTTGGAGCGTACGCTTACACAGGTGGAAATGTGGAATGGGCGCGCCATGGTGCACTTGCGCGAATGCGGTTGACCCAGATGCCTCGCGAATGAAACTCATCTGGCAGCCGTTCCTGACATCCTTGGGCTCGATAAGAGAATTTCTGCCGAGCGTGCGTTTAACGATCTCATGGCTCGCGGCGAGATTGCCGCGCGTTAAAATCTCGGCGGATCGTCGCACTTTGCTCTCGAAAAATCGGGGATTTTTGCGAGAGTATTCGAGTATGAATATATTATTCAACCCGAGCAGTAATAAATAACGATGTCGTTACTTAATATATTTCCGAAAATGGGTAATTAATTTGTCGTAAAGTAATTGCGTGCACCGTCGAAAGACGATCGTATCAAGATATGTGAATTTAGAAGAGTCGGTCTTAAGAAGTTCCACCGAGTTATTCTTCGATCCGTAACGCGGATAAAGAGTTGACGTAATAAGGAGATTGTAACACTCGTCGTTAAAAATCTCCGGAAGGTGCACGCGAGACGAGATTGCGACGAAACATGCGAGACGTGAGAATTCGCCGGGCGCATTTTATTCGCGGGAAAACGTCGCCCGACCCAAAAGCACAACCGAGTGAAACTCATCGAACGCCCGTTTCTCGCATCCTTGGACTCGATAAGAGAACCGGGGAATTTCTGCCGAGTGCAAGGCCTGGAATGTCAGGCATCCGCCTCGGGCAGCATCGAGATTCGCTGTAAGGGACGTGCCAAGGTAGAAAATGATTTTAAGCATGTAATAACGCGGCCGTTCGGCGAAAACTATCGTCGTGTAAAACGCTGTGAAGCGAGAGAGAGAGAGAGAGAGAGAGAAAGAGAGGAAGGGAGAAAAGAGACAGAGACCGTTTCACGAAACCGAGCCTGGCTAATTCCCACAGTGTAGTATTGTCTCTGCGCGGCAAAAAATCCGGATTCGTCTCGGCGGGAATTGATTCCATCGCGAGTATAATTGGATCCTTTTGGGACGCGTTCGCGCCAATGTGTGACGCCGGTTTTTTCACAGAGGTCAATTTGCAAGTCTTTACTGTCTTTCAACCGTCTCGGATCAGGGAGCGCACATCTCGTCGTCGATATTACTTCTCTAGCTTCGAGATAAAACTTACACTGCCGCCGCGTGGCTTTGATTTCGTTCAACGGACAACACGAGCTATACACGAGAATTGAAAAGTGAACGGCAAGTTTGCGTTAAAAATAGACCGGGCTCGAGTAAGTCAAAAAATTGCTCGTCGGAAGAGGGGAAAGGCGAGCCTCGAACGCTTGCCTACTCTTGGCGCGGAAAAATGACGCCATATGGCGCAGGTCGCGCGGCCGCTAAGTACGGCGGCCGGGTCTCTCGTTTCCGCGGCTTTCACGAGCTATCGGACATCGACAGTGACGAAGGTCAGTCGTGATCATAAACGACATTGACCTTGACTAGCGCTATAGGTGGAACGGTTTAGTCTAGAAAGTCTGGGATTATCTGTGTACGTTTAAGCAGCCTCGCAAAAATGATGACACACTTTCTCGGTGCATGCGCACACCGCACGATCCTTATTATGATTGACCGTGATTACGCACTTTGCAAACGAACACGGAGGCATTGTCCGCCGCAGCAATTCGTCTCTCTGGGTCAGTCCGGTGCATCCAGACAATCGGATGTAACAGGGTCGAATGCGACGGGAATTTAGATTCGAACTGTCTTTAAACCCAAACCCGGTCTCAAAGAGTCGGCCGAGGATTACGATTTGGATCTCTGCCACCACGCGACATTTTCGATCGAGTTTCGAAATGTATTGACACAGTAACTTCCTTACTCAAATATCTCCTAGATAAAGAAGAGTAAGAAGAATAGTAGAGTGAGACGAACAATGATAATTAAATACAAGAACGATATGGCCGCTATTTCGCGGACTTAATTAAAAACGTTGCGAACGCGATGACTTAGAAACTGGAATTAAATTACTTTGCGTAAAAAAAAACATTTGTTATTATCAAATTATCGGAGCAAGTTGAGTGGACGTTATAAAACGGGATCGTTTAATAACACGGTAACCCGCAGAAATAAATTCCAAATCGTTCCCCTCTCCCCGCGAGATCTCGACGGTTGCGGTTGCGTCTTGCAGCGAGCCGTCTAAAAACTGCTGCCAGACGTTCCCACGTGGCGTGAAAAATTCCGCGAGGAAATTATACCGTGTTACATTAATCTGCGGGATCACGAGATCAATAGCGGATCAATAGCGGCGATCACGCCTCGCGGTGGAGGGCGGCGGAGGACGGGCGGTAGTCTTGGAGAGAGAGAGAGGAGCGCGAGAGGATCGCCGGAGGTGCTCCGGCAGAGAGGTAGAGGAAGAAGGGCGGCAGCGAGGATCCTTCGCGCGCGCGCGCGCGTTGCCGCAGAAGGAGGAGGAGCAGGAAGAACGGACGGAGAAAAACGGAAAGGAGCACGGCCGGCGTCGTAGCGCACCGCCATTAGAAATCATCGTCTGCTCTCGTGGAATTTCAGAATGCGGAAGGAAAGCCGCTGTGAGAGACAGGGTCCGGCTCGGACAGAAGAGAGAAAGAGAGGAGTAGAGAAAGAGAAGGGGGAAGGAGAGAAAGGAAGAAAGAGAGAGAGAGAGAGAGAGAAAGGGAGGGGGGGAAAAGAGGGGAACGAGAAAGAGACGGACGGATGTACGAGGAGGGTGGGGATGTAGTTAGTAACCCGAGAACCCAGTCGTTCGTTTCAATACACCGACCAGTGCACCGACACGTTGGCCGCTGATGGCCAATGGTGCTTTTTCTACCCGCTCGTTCTTCGCGACCCCGTATATACGCGCGTTCATAAGTACCCCACATACCTACACAGCGTCTCGGTATCCGTACGATCGACCGTACATACGTCCATCCGTCCGTCGGCCCGTCGGTTTCTCTTATTGTCAGACTGTTGGTCTTTCTATTTCCTCGCCATTCTCCTCGGCACGGACGTGGGCGTATTAATTGAATAATTAAATCTCGACGGAGGTCGAATAGCGGCTCGGAAAATTCAAGCTGTCGAGTCGAAACCGGAAGAGTCCGACGTAGGGGACGCTTCGTCGTTAGACGAATCAGTAGATCAAGGAACTAAGGAACCTTAATTCTTACACTCGTGAATATGTCTTTTTTAACGATTGGGAGTATGTAATTCAGAATATTTTAATTTTTAATAATAATTTGTTTCAGAACGTAGGAGAAGTATCTACGTAAACGAAACGCCAGTGTGACCCTGGAGCCAGCATGGTCCCGGTCTCCCCAACGCAGGAGTCTTTTTCCCGCCGAGAGTAAACGCGGAGATCGTTCTCACGCGACCGCGAGATCCTTGCCGAAATCGCACCGTTTCCGAACTCCACGAGATCTCCGGTCGCTCCGAAAGCGCCTCCGCTCGGTGGAATTCGTGGGTACGTTTCTCGGCCGTGTTCCGTTGTTCCGTGCCGGAGCGGTTTCTTTATATCGAGAGCCCGCGTTAATGAGCGTGTATACGCTACCAGAAAGGTAACGGAAGGCAGGAACAAAAGGGGAACCAAGGTGGCAAGACCGTTTCCCGATGCTGACCGACGATTGCATTTTCCGGCCACGGCGTTAATCTCTAACCCCGAGATTCCGCGCGCGCGCGGAAATGTTAACCCCAGAAATCCTCACGCTTGCCGACGATGCTATCGTGCCGAGTGCACGCTGGGACCCGGCGGCAGGCCCCACGATACTCAATTACCCTCTCATTTATGTAATCTTAATTACAGAGCCCGAAATAGTTAAGCGTTGTGGGATAGAAGATATCTTAGCCGCGACTATTTCGCGTTACCGCATTGAAAGAGGGACGAAATTACACGCGGAAAGTTGGCGTATAATAAATACACGGACGCGATATAAATAACATGCGCGTTTCGTGAAATCACATCCTTGACAAGGCTTGTGGAAATTTTAGCGTGCGAAGTGGATTTCTCAGGAAGTGATGTGTCGTTTTCGAAAAAGTTAGAATGAAGAGAACGTGACCACATACACGACCGCCGGAGAGCGCGGGAGGCCTAACTGTCGAAGCCCGTCTCGGCGTGACATGTCAGTATGTTTGTGTGTCAACAATGTAGCCTTAAAACATGCTTCCCCCGCTGTGTCGCGTGATTTACCTGAAATTCACCAGCCGCCTCTCTATCCACCGTTCGCCGTGTAACTTTGTAATCTCGCCGCTCTAAGAGCACAGTGGCGTTCCCGCTCAGTCACGACCGGTGATGTAATTTCCCGCAAGCACACTCGCGCTCGGTTCCGAGACGCTGATAGAAACGCTTCCTTACCTGAAATCAGAAATCAATGGTATTTACAACATACGTATGATAATGAGAAGCAACATGCGATGATAAAAGATCAACGTGCTGAGATCTATGGGGTAGCCTTTTTACCAGAGGGAAGGACACATACGTGCCGGAGAAATTTAGAAGTTCATTATTATAGTGAGAAAAAAAGGCTGTTGGATAAACCGAATAAGATACTACTTTTGTACTTTAACGAATGCCCCAGGCTGGAAGAAAAATAGTCGGTTAATCAGTAGACCCCGGAAGTCCACCGTTCACTGCAAGGAATTCGCACGCGCAATCTTTCCCGTTATTCTTGTTTATTTGTGTTAATATTGACACATTTTGCATGACGCCTTATTACTCTCTTGCATATATCTTTGCTCCCTTTTACCGAGATTAAACTTGAAGAAAACAATTTTTTTTCATTTTAACTCGAAGTCGATCGCAACTTCAACCACATGTCGAAACGAATAGGTCCGTATCCCTTTCGAGGGCTCTCGGTCCTTGCGGTTCCATTTTTTTCCCACACATTTTCACTTCTTTCGCATGATAAATTATTAGTAAATCTGCATTACTTTCAAATAACTGGAATATTCTAGATCATGAAATAAACATATTCAGGGGAATGGAAAGGTCGAGGTCTAGAGGTTAAGATCTATTAAATGCGATTTATCCTCGTGACAGAGCGGCGCGTAATGATAGATCTCTGCGAGGTCTCGGATTTCAGAATTACTGCGACTCTCTCTAATTGCGTTGCGCATGCATTAGTCACCGGCCGCATGCTTTTATTTATGCGTAATCTCGGTGAAAACGGGCTACGGGTGTCCGCGTGCGCACTTTCCAATCCACGTGAAAAAGCAGTTTTGCCGATCGCGTTAGTGTCAATCCGCAGCCGATACTGGAACGGCTGGTTACTGCCGATGGGCGTGCCGCCTGAAATCGCCGCGATTTTATCGTCCGGCTTCTTGCGCGCGCGCGCGCGCGCGAACGAAATCGCGATTTCGCGGTAGATCGGCATTCCGCGCATATCTCGCCGGCGAAACCGAGCGGTGTTGCAAAACAGTTACAATAATTGCAATAATTTCCGCGGTTTGGCGCTCGAGTACGCTCGAGCTACGACGTGTCGGAAGATTTTCCTACGTGCTCCTTGTTGCAGCTTCGCGCGCAGTAAAATCTCAAGAATGATGGACGCGGCGATCGACGACTCCGAACGAGCAATTCTCTTATTTAGGAAAGGAAACGCGAAAATATTCGCTCTCGAAAGCGGGAAATCGCGCGCGAGACTTTCCCGCGATATATCCGTCAGACTAAACGAGCTCCTCAATGGTTACTTTGAGATTAATCTTAAGATTTCCAATAATGAGATCGTACAAGACATCATGGTCAATGTGAAAATAAATGATATCATTAGAATTGAACCTATTTCGCTATCTCAGCTCCTACACCCCGTGTCGTAAAATTAGAAGTTTAACACAGGTTGAAAATTCCGATTGAAAAGAAAAAAAAACGCATTTGACAGCCTTCGAGTGATAATGTTGAAAGCAGTGATCGCGAGCGAGACGAGTTCCCTCGTCTCTCCCAACGTCGTAACCCCCGAAGGTCCGCTTGTCTCGTCGACGTTATCTTCGAATTATTCCTGAAACAGGCTGCGTCTCTCCCAGGCTAGACGCAAGTATTATGGCTTATTTGCGACGAAGTATGGCTCGTCGGATCCGCTATTCTTCGCGCGGTTTCACTTCCACCCGCCTTCTCCTCCTCCTTTCTCGCTCCCGTTCTCGCGCGTGCAGCACGCGTTCGCCCGGTGCGTGCGTGCGTACATGCGTGCGTATATGTGCACGAACGCTCTCTCGTATAGGATTCACGGGGTGTTGCGCTCCCGGCTTTCATTATTTGCGAGTTAGCACAATGCGTACATGATTACGTGCTTACGCCCGGCGCACCGTCGTTACATCGCGTCGCCGCTTCTTTCTCTCTCTTTCTCGTCGTCTCTCCATTTCCCTTCTTCCTCGTACGCTCGTGCGCTGCCCATCGTCGGAACGTACGCCCCCGATATGTTTTAGAGAGCACCGCCTCGCTACTCGCGAAGGCTCGAGAAGGTCAATTTGCGCGTCTCGCTGCTGACGATCACTCCCGCCGAGTGAGTCAGCCGGCGCGGGAGAAAAGTGAATCTCGCGTAAACAAGTGCTTTCACGAAAAAAGGCAGAAGCGAGGCGGGTGTCGGCGGAGATGGTATTCCCCCGTTTCTGTGAGTCGTCTTAAGTGGAGCGTATAAGACGAACGCTCCTTCGCGTGCCTGGTCGGCGTTACACTCGACTTGGACACTCGGTTGTACAGCAAGTGCGGCGAGATGCACCGTCGGATCATCACGGTGATGCGGTGTGCCGCGACGAGCAGCGCTGAAATTACGTAAACGTGTCGCGAGAAACGCCGGAGATCGTTGAACGAGACGCACGGAATCGCACAGTTTGTCTATCTTCGAATCGGAAAAACGAAGCGCAGAGAGTAATATCTCACGGGCGGGTTCGAGTTTTAAATACGAACCGGACTCAAGGCGCTAAAAATCAAGACCCCTGAGACCTATGCAAGGGTAGGTAGGTATCCCGTAGACACACCGTGCGCGCGCGCGCACATTGCGATGAAAAACGGGAGATGTGCACGAGCGTGGCCGGGCAACGCGGCGATCTTTATTACAATGGCTATCTCCGAGATTTCCTCCTCGATCTCACGCACGTAATGTAATTTCTAGAACCCTCGGCGCAGCGTGGTAGGGAGGGCACACGGAGGACGAGGACGAGGGACGGGGTGGCGGGAGTGGAAGGGGAATTATTAAAAAGCTGAATCGAGGATAGTCCCGCGCCACGTCTCCGGCTATATTTATTGCGCGGGAAACTATGGAATTACCGGTCGATTACTCGTAAAACTTTTTCGCAAAATTGACGTAACAGACGGGCGGGCCTCCTCCTCAACCTCCACCTCCTCTTTTATCGAGCCATCCGTATTATTCTCCACCTTTTATCCAGGGGCGTGACTATATCGTATAGCAAAAGCACAGAGACCCACAAATAATAGGAGTTTGACTTTCTCCCCGCGACGTAGAAAGAATAGTGTTAAAAAGAGGGGGAATTACGAAGAAGCGAGAAATCTCTCAGGATTCCGCGTAAAAGTGACAATTTGCGTCCGCATCTTCCGGAGCGGGAGATCAAGTCCCGTCGATGTTCCATTACGCATCCGTGAGAGAAGAAGAAAAAAGGAGGAACACATATCTCTGTGGAATCAGCGCGCGCATGCAGCCAAGTTGCCCGATGCAACCGAGTTCTCATACCGCGCACGTAACGCGTATCCTTATGTATACACGTAAGTACGCACATTCGTACGAAACGTTAAACTTTTTACAGTAATTAAACAGTAATTTTTTAATGATCGCAACGTGATTCGCGGCGATCGGTCGGACCGGAAGTCGGTCTCGTAATTAAAGAAAATGCTCATCGCGTGGACACGGTGGTGGTTTCAAGCAGCAACACATCGGAGGAGGCAGCACGTCAAGGGAGAGATAGAGAGAGAGAGAGAAGTCCGCCTCGAGCAGGAAACCGAGCGGTAGTATCTCATGCAAAAAGCCATCCCGTTCCGGGCGTTCCGTTTCTGCACCTACGGTCGCGCGTGGGTCGCCGTCTCCTCCTCGTCGCGTCATTAAAAAGTGAAAGCATCGCGCGAGCCGCCGGGTAAAACTTTGGGTAACGGACCGTCCGTTCGGGAGTTACGACGTATCTCCGCCGATAGGCCGGAGACTTTCGCCCGGCCATAACGCGGATCATTAATAGCGGCTTATCACTTTACGTAACGCGATAGGACGACATTTCGCGTCGTCGCGCGAGACGTATCGCGGAAGCATCGCGCGAACGGGCGGATTCTTTCGTGCGAGCGGCGACCCGATCATCGACGTCGCATTTTCATCGCGAACTCACGCTGACTTTCATTTCTACAAATTTACATAATTTCCGCGCGCTTCGAAACTCGCCGCGCCAAAATCGACACGCCGTTCCTTTCCGCTTGGCCGACATTATCCCAACTTTCAATCTCCAATTTTCAATTTCCGCTATCTCCCAGATTCCAACTCGCGCCACGTAACCTTTGAATTCGGTTCCCATGTCGAAACTTCCGCTTTTCCCGCGTCTCCTCGCTCGCGATCCTTTTCTTCCCGATGCCCGACTTGCATTTCATCGTGAATTCACGCCGATTTATTTGTACAAATCCACACTACTTCACACACGTACTCACTTTTCCACCTCCGGCCGATATATTCCCAACTTCCGATTCCGAATTTTCCAATTCCATCCGCTACCTCCCGGACTCGAACTCTTTGAATTCGCTTTCCGTTCGCAACCTTCCGCTTTTCCGGCGCCTCCTCCACGCGCTCGTCCTCTCGCTCCGCGGATTTTGCCGCGTCCGTCCCACAACATGGCCATGGCCAAACGCGGCCGATCGTTCGTTTCCTCCGCGCGACCTACGTGCGGTGCACTCGATGTGCTCTTCTCGCGGCCTACCTCTATGTACGTGCACACGCATTCGCATCTCGTGACTGCAATGCGCGCCCGCGCACGCGGCGGACCCGCCGTAACTGTACACCATGGTCATAGATGTTAATCTGCCACATAATTGCGCCGATCTGGTCGCTTATTTATTGCCCCGGTTCCACCGGAGCGGCCGCTCGCTCGCTCCGCGCACTTTTCAACGTTCCGCTGCGGTTATTGCTACGAGTAGCCAATAATCGGCGGTACCCGCGCTTTCACACCGCCACTTCCACTTGTTAGGATCGAAAGGATCGTTATTAAGTCATGCTCGCTATCCTTCCACCGGCCTTCGCGCGACCGTCGCGTCGCAATCGGCCGGGCATAACGCGGCCGAGTCGGGCCGGTTTAACCCCGGATAAACAGAGCGGACGATTCGACACGACCCCCCGAATCGATCTCCGCCCGGTCGTGACGAGCCGCGCGATCGCGCAC